GTGGCTAAGGTGGTCTAGACACCCGGGTTTGCAAGTACACCTGAAAGACTAGGCTTCTTGGACTAATTTCTGACAGATTAAAGGAGAATCAGACACCAGAATTACTTAAGTCAACTAATGCCCTGAGCCAGGTTCATATTTCTCTAAGTCTATTATCTTCAGTAAAACCCTTGGAACGAGGAGTTTGGATCTGTTGGTGGAAAATAGGCATTTGCACATTCTTTATGAAGCCAGGATATGTTTGAATGCTTCCCGGCCTTATGAAACAGTTCAGACCACTGGCTAAGGTGTTAAGGTAGCCCAGACAACAGGCTGCAGACAGATTTACTCAATATCACATGCGTTAATTCCTGCCAGAGGAGAGGAAAATTTGCACCATCTTATTTATCCATAAGATAAATGCCTAGAAGTAACAGTTTCTCTTTATATGTATATAGTTGCCTTCCGATGTTTGACAATCATTTCCTAACGTGATAACCTCTAAGAGTTTAATTTGAAATTTCTGCTCCTCCTGTGTTATAAAACCACAGGAAGAGCTTCTCAGTCCCAAAGGGTGCATCTGCCGCTCTTAACTTGACTGACAGAAGAAGGGCAACTGATGGCATCATGTAGCATATCTTGGTACTACCATAATTAATGTCTCTCCTGCACAAGAGGGGATATAATGGCCTAGGCCCCTTTATGGAATTTACAACATGAAGCCCCAAATCTCCACATCTGAGTGACAGCCAGATATAGCCCTGCTGTGTTAATGTACATGCTGTGTCAATTATCATGCAAAAAGAAAATACCAGCTTCCTTTTTTTAAATGTACAGATGAAGAGACATTTAAGACATAATTTCTACGCTGACCAAAAAGGACGACACAGCTGTGAAATCTGTTAACCATTCAACATGACTTGAGACATTTGTTTTGATTGGTCCTCTATCAAATCCTGCTTACTTCCAAGTTAAAATGCAACCAACTCTGTGAAAACAGACAAGGATGCCCATGCGTGCGTGTGTGTGCACTTCACATATTATGTGCTCTACACAACAACAACCTTACAATCATTATAGTAGTCAGTATCCTTGACCAAACATAAATACAATCATGTGGCAAACTTACTGGTTTTGTACAATGATTTTTAGCAAAGATGGCTAGACTTCCTTATAATATGTATATATAAAAACACAAAGATACACACATACATGTGTATGTAAATAAACTTATACGAATACATGTATATACATACATTATTTAAAAGGTCTCCAAAGTCTCTTCTCTAAACATATCTTATCAATAAACTAATTCCTAACAGTAGGAATCTGTGTCCTTCACATCTACTGTTTCTACTTTCAGGAGGAAGACGACCATGAGCTACAACCTCCTCACTTTGACGCACATGCTTTTTGGAACAGCTTCCTTTTAACGTCCTAAAGCAGCAGAAGCAGGTTCAGAAGAATCTTTTTTGAAGAATGCAATTTCTTTTGATTTCATTGATTAGTGCTTCAGTATGCTACATCTCTTCATCCTTTCTGTAATGCTGGAAAGAAGTTCAGAACGAGATCTGACCTGGCCAAATAAAATATGCTTGCACTCAGTGTGGTCACCTCTGTCGTTCTTTTTTGTATTGATCAATTCATACACTCACCCTAAATGTCTCTCTCTTTTCTCTCGAATCTTCTTTCTGCCTTCTCATCCAAATGACCTGCTAGCAATTCCCAATGTTTCTATGTAGTGTAAAGAATTTCTTTAAATAGACTAAGCTGGAAGTATACATAGACAACCATAACATCGGTATTCTGGAATGCAATCTTGAAAATAACCACTGCCGCTTGTAAGCACTGTCCCTACCCTTACAACCTATGGTCTTTTGGCTCATGTCTCACAGCAGGGGCATGGAGTCTAGTCTGAGCAGCACTTTTTTTTTTTTTTTTTTAAATAAATATTGTGTTACAACACAGCCGCTGGCAGGAAGTTATATATCAGATCTTTCACGTCTGACTGTAATCTTTATGAACTAAGGGCAGGGCTACTTGGAACAGAAGAATGCCTGGGACTGTGTAGCCCGTTTAAGAGGCTGTTAATTGAAGAATACTCCACTAAGACAGCACTGGTACTTGTGTTCCCAGCAACTTGGTCAGAAGCATCTGTAAGTTGTACACTCTGGCACATAATGATCAATGCTGTCAGTGTGTCTAATGCCACAGAACACACAAACCTTCTCTCCAAGAGAAGTATGTCATCAATGAAACATAAAGAAGATGGAAAACAGGACACCTCAGTTGAAGAATCAACTTGGTATTAAAGTACTGTGGTAAGACATTATTCACATTCCGAGAATAAGAGGGTTCAACTTCGACAGGTTTCCATTTTTTTGTTTTAGGTCTGCCCACACATCATTTCTCAGGCTCATCACGTTCCCCTCAAATAAAATGGCACACAAACTCTTGCCCATTTGATTATAATCTATAATCAGAATCACACTATTTATTATGAAAATACATGTACAGTGGCTTACCATAGCTGTTTCTGAAGTCTCAGATTCTCGGTTTGAATATAGTTAAGGAATAAATTAACATTGATAAGATTTACATTGAAATCTGGGTTTCTGAAACAAGAGGTTTATTTAGGTGCATGACAAATGTATAAAGACTTGCATTAAACTGTAATTGCAAAGCATATCGTTGTTTTTCTGAATATTCAATTAGTTCCTAAATCATTTATTATAGATGAGGCACGCAGGGTATTAATCAGAATTTCTAATAACCAGGAAAGAGAAATCAGTGGTGAATATATGAAATCTCCACGCTCAATCATTTTTACCTTGATGGATGACACTGGCAGGTAGCTGGCACATTAATGAATCTACTAGAAACAGACAGTTAAGAACACACTCCAGTATCTTACATATCCCAGTAGCCTCAATTGGTAAATGATTTCAAGCAAAATTACTACAAAATCTCTCCCTTATTTTTCTTGCCTCAAAAGAGAAATGTCCACCAACAGCAAAGCAGCTTGAGTACAATCCCTACATGTAACTCAGAAAATAACTCACTCTCGAAACACTTAACTAGCAATGAGTTAAACAGAAAAGGAATGCCATCTTCCAGAAGCCTTACAGTAATTTAGAAAGAGGTCCAGCAACATAACCCTACCTGGGAGGTAAAACTAATCCTAGATTTGCATTTGCCATAGGCTCCATTATCTTTCCAGAAAAGCCAAATGTAAATTTCAATAGTTTACCAGATTTTAAAACCCATCGTAGGACATGAATTTTGTGCTCTCACTGGACGGCCTTCAGATACATTCCTGTTTAACAGCTACTTATGCTTTAGTCTGTAGGTAAAAATCCCAAACATCCCAAGGAGAGAAGTAGAGAAGAAAAGCTAAAAGATGATTTTTGAAAGAAGTTCTTAAAACTCTGAGGTGTTCACAATCAATACACAAAGATGAAACAGTGTTTTAAAATGACAAATATGTGTAAAGAATGTAACCCATGAGAGGAGAGTATCGGCGTATGAATTCTATAGGTGTGGATAGACTTATATGGAAACTATGGAACAGGCAGATTCAAACATGAAGAATCTTTAGAATTGCACAATCTATTTCCACTTAAAAGAAAAATTCTGTAAAATTTCCCTGCTGGGCACTTTAAGGATAACAAAATGTTCATAAGAGTAAAAAGATACAATCCTCGCTCACTAGCTCTGGCAGAACATCACTTCAAGACCAAAATGTCCTTCATTTTCTTAGTGAATTGGGTAGAATGCAGTAGAGTGACCTGAATTTATTCCGTGAGCGCTCCTGAACAATCCATGCCTAGCCGAGGCTAAATATGCCATGAATAATTTGACCGAAATGCTTACACTCAAAGGATTGTAACTTACAAGTTTAGCACAAAAAGCACTTCAGTAATTGTTTTTCTTTTCTTTTGCAATGTCTTTCCATACTTTATCATAAGGAAATACAAAATGCTGCACTGTAAATATCACCTTACTTACTGCAAAAGAATCTGAAATATTTCTGACTTTTAAGTTCTGTTGTAAGTCAGGCAAAGCTGTACACAGATTGCAAAAAGATTTCTTACCTTTTCCCCAGCAGCATTCAACACTCAGAGCAGTTAAGTGTCCCATCGCAGATTCTAACACCAGGCTGCAGCTACCAGGACATACTGCATTCTTCTTCAGAGATAACGGTTTCTGGACAGATGCTGCACCATATACCCCACACAATTTAATATCCAATAAAAGGACAAGATTAAGTATCAACACAAACTGACTTATTTTGCTTTTCTCAATTTGAGGGACAGGAGAATCGTGCAATAAGAATGTTAAGCAAGAGATCTAGGGTGGGTTTTCTTTCCATACTGCTAAATCTACACGTCTACATAAAATGACATGATGCTTCCTCTGTCCCACTTCGGCCTGAATTTCTCCTGTCGTCCTGCCTCATATTTCTAAAACTGACTTTCTCTCATTATCTTCTGTCCTCGTTTACAGAGTAGATTTTGGCACCGGAGTCACTGTACAGCTGACACTGAAAGGAAAGGAAAGGCAGTGAGCTAGTGAGCACGTGAAGTAACGTGATTTAGCCATCTGAGCAATTCTCCTGTGATTAAGTGCAGGACAGTGGGCCAAAAGAACTGCCTCATGTTTTCTCGTTATGTCCACCAGCCACAGAACATCTGCACCAAAATGTAACTTGGGTAACACCAGTTCCTTCTACAAGTTGCTCTTCCACACTGAAGTAAGCTCTGCTTCTTCATCATCTTCTTCAGCCCTCATACAAACCAGTTACTGCGCTCCTTTCCTTCCTTTTTCTCATGTGACTTTAAAAGAACTGTTTGGCATTCTTCCTCAATTTCTGCTCAGTATTTTTCTTTCATACTGCCTTTCACTTCTGGAAAGCCAAATTAGTTTCCTGTATTTTTTCAAATCCTTCCTCTACTGGCAGGGACTACAACTCAAGTATCTCCCACTCATTCTCTCTCCTTCCTTTTTCTCCTTTGGTACTGCATCTCTCCATGTCCACCACTTTCTGCCTAGTTGCAAGACCTGTACACCCACTAATTCATCTTCAGAAAAGAGTTCCTGGCCCCACTTCTCAACATGCAGAAGAGGAACTGCTTTTAAATTTCTCAAACGAATAACCTGGCTGACGCCAATCAAATAAAGATCAGCTGAATGAGGAAGAGGCTGTAGTCTGTGTGCTAGCCTTGCATGCGCTTAGCAGTATGCCAAGGGGAATGAAGCAAGGTAAGCCTGAGTGAATTTTTCTTAAATCAAGACACTAGGGCAGGTCAAAGAAATTGTTTTGTGGGCTGTGCGGTATGCAGGCCTGTTCTACAGACTCTCTCCGCTACTACTTTCAAAATGCAAAAGATATTTTCAGCCTGGCATAGGACTCTCTCTAACATAAACATCCTAAATGCTTAGATTTTTCTTATGGAGGTTAAATGCTGAGACCTTGCTGTCTTTTATCCAAAGGTGTTTGGCATAATTTTCCCTTACAGTTACTCAGCCTATCTCCTTTCATTATTTTTGAATAACAAGCACTGCCAGGAGCTGACGACATAAAGGTTAGCTGCTCTTTGCTGCATCACTAACAAGAAAAGGTATCCATCTTATATTTTTCTTTTCTTTTTCTCCTTTATATGACAGGCTAGAGTAAAGACTTTCTCTCTCTATGTTAGAGGAAAGTTAAAAAACTGGATGCTAATGTCACTCTGATTTTAGACATGAATAAGTACCTAAATCCCCTTCATTCAATACGGAATATTCCACTAAAACTAACTTCTAGAATTCATCTAGAAGTCATGTGAAGAAGGAGAAAACACTAGAAAAAAACCACTTCCCTATACACCGTCTGATTCAGTGTGCCTTAATTTAAGGACCTGGGGAAGTAGTGCAGTACAAACAATTATTTATACTTTTTGCTCACTCTCACCTTGTAAATAAATTTTAAGTTAATAAGCTGCAAAAAAATCTTTGTGGCATAATGCTCAAATTTTCTAAAAAAAAAAAAAAAAGGGTAAATGATCACATGAGACTGACTAGAAAAAACTGTTTATTTTTTAAACAAAATATTAACTGCTGAATCTAAAAACATATAAATTTTTGTCAGACGGTATTAAAATACAAACATGTGAAAGGCTGAGTTTCAACACACCCCTAATAAAATTACTGTTTCTTCCCTCTAATGTTTTTTCACATCAAATATATCAAGACTAAAGGACTAAAGCAGAGAATCAGTAACTACCATGTAGGAAACTTCATTAATGCAGAAAGCTGGATATGTTAGCCCTTCAATATAAAGCTCTGTGCTAGCTTGGGACAAGCATTAACATGCATCAAATACAGCAAAAATGATATGGTGCAATCTGTGACAAAATATCTTTAATTATCCTATAAAAGTAGATTTTGAGACTTAGATCTAATAAAGTACTTGGAAGTCTAAATTACACTTAAATGTTTGTCTAAAATTATAACCCAAAACTAAAGGCTGCTTAGCTACTGCCTGATAACACCCAAATTCATCACCTTGACCTTGAAGTTCCCCATGCTCTAGGAGTTCTGCTTCCAGAGGTATTCAGAACTGCAAGCCTCAGTAGCTTGGAATTGGGGAAGCAGGGGCATCTCTAGGGCTGTATATGGTAAGCTGACTCTGAGCGTGCCCAGTACAGAGGGGAATGGGCCTTAATATGAAAACAAGGCATGGTTTACAGGAGGAAAAGTGGATGTGATTACAGCCATGGGATCTGAAAATTCAACCCAGCCACTGGGTTGAGAAGCCTGGAAAGAAACCTGTAGTCAGAAAGGGAGATAGCACTGAAGAACAAGCATGATTCAAAGGAATCCTTTCCTCAGAAACAAAAGAGCCTTTTTCCATGACCTGTTCTTAGGACTGTTCCTGCCAGTAAGGCTCAACAGATATTCAGTCAAATATATTAAATTGCGGAGAAGAAAGAATCTCCCTCTGATTGGCCCAAAAGGTTCCAGAATCATGCTCCCTTCACTGCTTTTTCCTGTGTAAATGGCACATCTGGAAAGAAAGGTTGAAGAGCAATTAACTGATCACTTAACAGTCAGGGTACCATACTTGGATATAAGAAATGCAAGTTTGAGCCCCATTAAATTAAGAAGGTCATCAATTTTCTGGATTCTACTTTGAGGTCAGGCAAATCCTAATTCTTGCACAACAAAAAGCTCTTTTGGCAGTTATGAAACTAGAAAACTAAATCCCTGGATTATATATTAAACTGTCTTTCAAAACATTGAAATCTTATTTTAAAGAGAAGCAGAGGTTATTAACAGTTTCCTGAACTAATGTGTAAGTTTTCCTCTTCACACATTTTACTTTGAAGAAAAGTTACTTGTTTGAGTAATTTTTTCAGCTACTTCCTACTTTTTACTTTATAGCCTAGCAAAGGTCCTAACGTATTACGCATACAAAATTTGTCACAAATACCAAACTCAATAATGCTCTAACTCCTGAACATCCATGATCTGTAGGTTCCGAAAGGTTAATAAGATAGTTTGTTAACAAAATTTATCAATAGTAACTAACCAAGCATTATGATATACTTTCAGTTATGTTTTTGAATGCTAAAGTATCCATTTTAAAAATGGGTTACGATAAATACATTTCTACAGAAAAACATCATATAAAATAAGAATGGAGAAAACTTTTTTCATAAATTTATCACATACATTCTATGTTTGCAAGAGTATCATATTTGTGCCTGATACAGGTGGCACTATGAGGATACCTGGTAAAATGGAAAGCTATTTCAATGTCTGAATATTAAGTTAAATAATAAATATTTTTACATTGCCTGCCTTCTCTGTATAAAACCTGTGATTACAACTGACTGAAATATATAATATCAAAATACTTCCGCTGCTCAGATACAAAGTGTTGATATTCATTAAGCCTATTCTTAAATGCTCAAAAAACATTTATGCAAAGTTAAAAATACTATTTTGTTTTGTATCTTATCTACACCTAAATTACTGGCAACAGACTAATTTCTAGTAAAACACCTACCACATATTGGGTGAAGTTTTCAAAATACTAAAAATTTAGGACTACATGCAATACAGGCAAACATTCATACATAACTTTTGTAATCATTTTTGTACTAAAAGTTTGTATGAGGCATATAAACTATAACTTAAAATAACTGAGCTGCCTACTGATAGCAGCATAGCTTGTGATCAAGCATGCTGTCAGGCATCCATACAAGTTACGGTTCCAGCTCTGTACTCACTTTTGTCCATGGTCTTATGCTTCAAAAAACTTTAAGTTTTATTCTTATCTATCCAGTTAATTTATGTTTAGAATTTTTAATTTCTACTGTAATAAATATCGTAGTCTTAGAAAATAACTTTCTACATTTAGTTTCTATATATATTACTTTTCTACTTAATGCTCTACATTTAAGTCTCCTTGTATGTGAGATACAGATAACTGTCTCATATTTTAAAGAACTTTATGACCTCCAGACGACAAGTCAGAAATGAAAATTGATTTCAATTATCATTATTCTTATACAAAACTAACCTTAGAATTTTGAACCTGCAACAGTTCAGTTGAGTCATAATCTCTTTTTTGGTCCCAAAATAGGAAAGGAAATACCATCCTGATCTCTGCAAAATATCACCAGAAAATCCCTATGATTCTAGTGAGGAATTTGAAAAGAACAATTGACCTATGAAATTTTATTGAAATATAGAAACAATTTTTATATGCAAAAAAGATTCAGTTCCAGCAATTTGCAGTTTCATCTTCACCTCACAACTATAGTTCCCAGGTACTTTTGAAATGGTCTGCTGTGGTTGTTGGAGAAACATTAAGTAATTCTTTCAGTATTTTTGTGTGTCTTTCTAGGCTCAGAGACTACATAAATGAAATTAAAGGCAGTTGACAAAACAGAGTTGAAATAAAAGTACAGTAAGACTTATAGTGAAGGCAAGTATCAATTACAGCAAGTATTTGTCCTTAGATAGACACCCTAACGTGCAGGTTGGGTTCATTTTGTCCTCATCAGTATTATTAAATACATATAATGTAATGGCTAGTTAAATGAATGACTTAGACCTGTGACCTAAAGAATACTGTCAATAGCTGCTACAAGGATCAGCCTATTCATAATATTCAAGATTTATCACTTATAACCGAAAAAATACACACATTCAGAAAAATATAATCAGATTTGCATAATATGTAGTAGCTTATGAACACTTTATGATCATCCATTTTATACTGACTTCCCACCAAACAGAGTCAAGCTAAATGTCATGTTATAATAGCTGAAGTTCTTCATAGGACTGGCATGCCTATCTGAAAGGTCACCTCCCTCCATGACCACATCTATTTGAAACTTTAATGATATCAGCTACTAGAGGAAACTTCTTTTTATGAGACAAAATTTTTCTGAAGAAAGCCACTAGTGCCAGGGAGTTTTCTCCCACAAAACATAAGAATGACTGTGGACCCCCTTCCTTTTGCCTCCCTATCTCTACCAGTACCGAACAGATATGGGAAGTACTGAACAGCATAGCGATGATGCCATATATGCATTCTGCTGGAATTAAGAATCTCTGCTCGTGTAACTATAAAAGTCCTGTTAATGAGAACTACAAGCTTCACTTGAAGTAGAAAATGAACAGTTACTCAAATGTTTATTAAGCACACCCTTAATTTTGCAAGTCAATGCAGGTTGTGGTAAATGCTTGCATTCTGAAATATTCAAAGAGCTCATGAGTTATCTACCCAACTCTCCTGAACTACTACTGTGGCCAAACACAAGATTTACAAAAACATCTGTTTTCAACCTATTAGCAGCTGAAAATAACCATAAAGGCCAATAAAATAAGCAATAAAGAAACTGAAAGGGGAAATAGGTAGCAATTATGCCACAATCCCATACTGGGTTTAATCCTAATCGGTGTAAAATCCTCATGTTTGAAATAAATCCTCATGATACATTTTTCACCCTTCTAAGAAAAGAGTGGTTTATTATCAAAGCAAAGAATATTAGTAAGTGCACTACAGCATAGCATACAGTGTTCAGTATTTTTGCTCTTGATATGATTTTTATACTTTAGATAATTCTCAATCTGAAAGTTCCCAGTTGAGATATACTTTTGAGTATGTTCAGTCTTCTCACATTACTGTGCAATAGCATTTCTGAGAATGGATATAATTCCTGTAATCAGCAAGCTGCTTCAGGTACATATCGGAGGGCCATCTGTGCATCTCTACAAAATTGCGTTCATCCGCTAAAGAAAGCGATAAATGAATTAAACATAGTATACAAACACACAGGCAAAGGTGCACTAGCTGGAAAAATAAATCTTTGAAAATAGGTTTAGAAACATTAAGGATATAAATACAACAAAAAAGTAAAGTTAAGACAAGTGCTGTCCATTTTGCCTAAGTCTTGTACATAATGTAAAAATTTACTATATGACATTCCTTTGCTATTAAGCCAGCCATAAATTATCTACTTTTTAAAATGAATACAAGACACGTTAAAGAGAGCAAAGAGATCACCTTAGAGGTGCATGTTCTTTATCCACAGAAGACAACCAGGAAATCAACAGTGAGAGCTTCTCTACGCTGCAACACTACCAAGGAATGCAGTTCAATCTCTATACCAACGGTTTGTGTCAAGATCATTACAAAAAGCAAGGGGAAGAATTAAGAATTTAGTAAGATTTGTCTTTTGATTCCACATGTTTTTGTCTCTGATAAAATAAAAACTTAACAGAATTTTAAGTTATGTTATTTAGGTGAATTCTGTCTGACTTTATAAAAGTAAGCTTTTTCACCCCTATGCCCCAGCCTTTTCTGAATCAGTCTGCAGCAGCGATTGCCCAGTCTTTTTAGAGATTCAGACCATCCAGAACAGAGAGTAAAGGACAGCAGAGAGACCTGCAGCTTGAGAAATGGTGAAGTCAGGCCACTGACTGGGCAACAGGCAGACTATTTCATTTGTCTTATGCAAAATGCAGAGTTGCACTTGAAGATTTTAACTTTAAGAAAGTAACTGTACAAATCACCTACAATGTACCATTGTTCTTCTTGAAACTTAATGGAAATGAAGACTAAGCATCCTTTTTAATGAAAAAAACAAGGTCACCTACCAATAGTTGCTGTTCTTTGAGAAGTACGCTCTGCATCTGAATTCTAACTGTGAGAGTATCTGCGCTCTGACAAACCAGAAAAGAATGTTTTTTCCCTATTGTACACATATTTACATATGCACTTTTATTTCTTTGCTCCATCTTGCCCAGTGCAAAGCCTATGCAGCAGAGCATGTCTACTTCTCAGTAAAGAATCATCTGGAAGAGCCTCAGAGAAAAAGAGAAAAGCAAAGGGCAGACTAACGTGCATGTAGACAGCACATCCCAAAGAATACCAATTACTGGGAAGGTACCCCTTCTCTTTGGGTGAATCCACACATGCTTTCTACCGGTGGCTGACTCCAAACAGTCCCTCTGGTAACAGTCACCTGGCAGAGATTTAAAAAACTTCATCAAACAACCAACAACTGTAGTACTGCTGTGCATCAGCCCTGGGTGCTTCAGGAATGGTGAAAGCCTAGAGGAAACTCCCTGTGATCACACAGCAAATATTCAGTATGGAAATACTGTACAGCTCATCCCTTAGGTCACTTGGGCTCTGTTAGAACACATTCTGATCCTTATCGGAAACATCACTTGCACACTTTCATAAGAGGTTCATATGCAACCTAATGTCCATCTGGATAACTGCAACGTGGAGATAAAAGAGCTCTTAGAACTTTTCATAGTAGAAACAAACAGCTTAAGAAACAAACTTCTTAAAAGGTCTGAATCTACAAAGAGAAAAAAAGAGCTCCTTGCTGCTGCTGCTGCTGCTGTGAAGCAGTTCAGCCCTAAAAGTACAAGACTTTAGGAAGGCTACCTAAAGATAAATCTTCTGCCTGACAGAAATCTGGCACAACCAAGATATAAATTTAAGGTGAGCATGAAGAGACACGCTGTCCTTGAAGAATGCAAAGTACATTAGAGGTTACCTATGAAAGCCTGAATCTCTCACATTGTTCTGACAGAAGTGATACCACCTTTCTAGACAAGAGGAGACAGGGGAAAGTTTTTAAGAGAGAGAATCCCATGGAAAAAACAGCACAAAACTGATACCCTACTGCGGAAATGGAAAACGAGTAAGCAGATGTGCCTACATCAAGCCCTGGAAGAATCTAGAAGCCTTTGAGTCTCTAGTCCCATACCTCCCAAATGGGAGACAGAGACTTTACCAGACACCTGAAACTTTACCAGACTGAGCGGAAGACCTGATTCCTTGAACTTCAAGAGAGAACCTCAGGATGGTTGAGATCAAAGTCCTGAAGGAAGGAAGTTACCAAAGAGTATTTTCAAACACAGTCCACCACCTGAGCCAACAAGGAAGTGAAGCAAACCAAGTTCTACATGGACTGAACCTACTTGTAGCTGACATCCATCAGCAGAGGTTTTCTGATCTCTCATTTGTAATCCAGATTTGCAGTCCAGCTCTCCTTTATAAAATGGGCATTTCAGAATCTGGGCAGACGGACCACTGAGAGGCAGATAACACTGGAATTGCCCTATGTCCCAAACAAAGCAAAGGGGACAAAGCTCTACGTTTTTTGTTTGTAACAAACAACCACAAAGTCATCCGTCATCACATGCATACGTGAGCCTTGGAAATGAGGAAAGACGACCTTTAACATATTTTGGACTGAATAGCGTTTCAGCCCACTGATAAGAAAATTCCGTTTTGAAAACACTGGCCCTGTACCAACAGTCTGAATACTATCTGCAGGCAGAAGTGACACATCCATTGAGATCACCTTCATCAGAGTGATGAACAAATATTCCCCCACAGACAATGGGCAAAACATTCTAGAATTACACGTCAGGAAATAAATATACTCTCTTCTGGAAAATAAACATCAATTCCCTGGAACAACTTGGATTTATTTACTTGAATTGGCATCCGTTAGCTATTTGATTTCTTAAAATCTGCTGGAGAATACCACAAGAAACCTCTTTCCTACCTAAAAAAAAATACCTTAATCAAAAGCTATTGGAAGTATCTCATTATCTTGAGTCAAATGTATAAACTAAACAAAGTACATGCTTAAAGGCATGGAAGTGTTGAAATATAAGAAGCAAACTGCCCTAGCCAATTCAGCAATAGGTGGGAACCTAGTCTTCAGCATAGGAACCAAAAGACAAGTGGATGCAGTGCTAGCTGTGTTACTCTCCCTTAGAAGGTTGATGGACCATCTGGCTCAGAATGACTTTGGACTGGATTAGACTGTATATCCTAAAAAAGTCTTATTCATTTCCTTATGCAGAAGTAGCATTATTCAGTATCTCATTTCTAATCCAAGTAGAACTGAAAGATATTTCTTTAAAAAAAAAAAAAAACAGTAAACTACCTGAGAGATCTTGAAATTCTGGCTTTTGACTGAAGATGAGGTAGTTAGTGGCAATAAAATGAAGAAGCCAAGTCGAAAGGCAATCAGAATTGTGAAACTGCAAGAAGAAAGGAAATACAAACAACATTTGAATACTATCAGATCTAAAAGTAGGAGAGGAAAAAAAAATTAATACAGCTTACATGCCAAAATATATTATTTTGGATTACAGCTGTCCACACAGCAGTTTATTAAATAAAGTCTTGACAGTAGGAGATAAAGAAGAAAAAGTGATTGAAGGAAATATGTAAACAGATGCAGACCCATGAACAAATTCTAAAACTTCCCTCCCCCTAGCTGTGTGACCTAACCCCAGTGCTACAGATTCTTGCTTTTCTCTATGTCTCCTTTTGGTCCCATGAATCTGGGATATACTTTGCTTCTGCACAGCAGCAGAACTTCAGAAAAAGAAAGGTGAGGCGTGTCACCTTCCTCCTCTCTGTCTTGGTGAGCTGCATAGTCTCAGAGCTATTGTGCTTTGAACTCTCTTGGGCACAAAAGGCACTCTGGGTATCCTATTTTATAAGTCAGGTTTTTCATGTCAGGTTATTACATTAAGGACACCGTCACTCTAACTCCGACATGCATTTTAAAGGAAAATGGCAGCCAGGACTGTATTTCTGTAAAAAGCTTAATACTGGCAGGAGTCTTTTAGAACCATTATGCAAACACCAACTGGGTGAAACCGCACACAGGTCAGACAGTACACTCAGTTTTGGATTTTTGGATCCTGATTAGTATATTTGGCATGAATTAGGTTCTGCACTGCTCAGTCCTCTCACAACCTTTTTGTATTAGTACTGCGTAAAGCTTTCGCACCCCTGGGGAATCTGAGGCCATGAAATATGGTAACTGGAACCCTGTGGTACCCTACAGTGCTAGGCAGCAGTTGTGTGAAAGTTTTAGCACACATCTATACTGCACTTGAGTTATTTAGCTCAAGGTGGATTTTGAAATAGAAGTAAACAAAATACAGTGATATTCATGGTTAAAAACTTGGTAAGAAATTATATGGTGTTGCCAGTGAAGGAAAGATCACGGTCTACGCATTTACTGCATTTACACATCATCTCTGACAGAAGTTATCATTACGCTGAACTACCGCAGTGTGTTTTTGATGAACAAAATCAGATAGAACATGCTATGACTGCATACCCTACAGTAAAGTTTTTACTTCTTAAAGAAATGAAGGGCTGCAAAAGTCTCGTCAGGCCATATTTCAGCCACTCATGCGACACTTAAAATCTTTGATTAACAGACAATATATCAATGTTGGTCCTTGAAATCTGAAAGATCATCTTAAAAATCTTAACAATTATGTTTTAAAAACAAAAAAAATCTATCATTTAGAATCAACATATATAGTCTTATGTAATGTAAAAAATACGTACCTTAGCTTTTCTGAGCAAGCTAACAATACTGAGTCTTGTTGAGGCCAATTCTCTGCTAGGCATACTCTGAAGCTGTGTGATAATATAAAGCTCACAAATATGTTGGAGTCTCGTTACTTGGTACATCTCAGCACAAATCAAGAGAGACATAGCTTGGAGAATACTAGCTGAAAAACAACAAAACAATAAAATAAATTACATTTATTTTACTTTTTTGACAAGATGATGAAAGCCACTTTTCATAGTTTAACAATGCACACAAAATCACACTGCTGTTGATTCCCTCCTTTTTCACTATTATTAGTGTTTGCTACATCACTTCAACAGATAAACTAATGTGCAGCAAGAGAGTAGTTAGTGGCTTTTCAGAAGGCAAGTGTAACAGATTGCATTCTATTGACTACATAGTCATATATATCTTAAGGATGCTAAGACAAATGCTGCTGGTCTATTTAAAGGGAGTGATAATTCATAAAAGGATTTAGCCTTCTAACTTTTCTTTCAAAAAAAGAAACCTCTCTAAAATATGTAAAAGAAAATAGAACAGTAAGATTTAAGAGAAACAGAGTAATAATTCTTTTTAAAAATACGATATACTGTTTCCATATTTAAACTGATGGACAAGGAAATGTTAGATTAAAAAAAGAAAAGATGGAAAACCTAAGAGCAAGATAGAAATTTTTAAAAAAGAAAACCAAAACAAAAATATGTATCACACCACCATTCCTTCTATAAAAGGAAAATTATCTGAATTTAAATAAGATTTCAGATTTAGTTTCAGATTTTTAGATACCGTTCTCACTAAGAAAACCAATGTTTAAGAAACTAAGAGTATTTTAGCTCAATTATTCTTGCCAAATACTCTAGTTCATATAATTTCTCTGGTGTTATATATAAATAAGATATCCATTTATATGAATAAGGTATTTTGGCAATTTAAGCTTATTTATATTAAACTTCACAAAATATATGCCAAACTAATTGACAAATTTGAAATAAAACCTAGAACTAAGATTAGAAACTGATATTCTTTCTCTTGTAGAAAGAGAATTCCAGAAGATTGAATGGCCCAGAAAGAAAACCACACATTTTTTAGAGTCTTGCTAACTAAGCAGAAGATAACTACAGTGTTTTATTAGTTGTATTCATACTGGCTGCTTGCTGATTTTACTTGAATAATACAAATTTTCTAACTGTAAAATATGAAAAAAAATCTTTTTCCTGAGGCAGATCATACAGGAAAATATTGGCATGTTTCCATTAAGTAACAAATATTTTCAGAATATACCAGATCTTTAATTGAAAATATTTCCACTAATGTAAAGCAGGTTTTCTAGTGACTTTACAGTATCTAGTACACTGGGAGAAATTCTGCATTACAACATTTTACACTAAAGATAAATACTTATCAGGGGACAAGAAAAGAAGGGGAACTAAAAGATCCTGCTACTTTGGTCTCTATCCCTTCTTTCTCCATGCCTCAGTGGGAGAAAAATGTGTAGCAGATGCACGTGTACTTTTAAATTTGCTTACCTGGACAACAGGAGTCGGTATAGAGATACTCCAGAAAGGAGAGGAAAGTGTCTTTGGAAACCCCATACACTGGAACCAAAATATTATTTGCTTCTAGATAGTTACCATTAAACATAGCTGCCATTACCTCACAGCGAGCCACCAGAACTGCTCTGTGGGCTGGTACAGTTGTACCTGCAAGATTTGTGACAAAAGTTTAAGATAAACTTATACACATGGTAAGATTTTGATATTAAGGTTCATATAATTTTTACACAACACAGAGCTTGATTTAAAACACTTTTATAGAGTGTTTGAAATAAAAATATCAAATAGATAATTAATAACACATTTACTCGGTACCAGTCAATATCTACATATATACAGTAGCCACCAACAAACAAAAATAGCATATTAACAGATTAGACCTTAAAAAGAAATACCAAATTTATTACTACAACCTGCTCCCAACAGCAGGTGTTCCAAATAGGGTAAGCTTTATCAGACAGAAACAGGCCTTCAACTAGCATAACATCTGACACTATTGGAATTACAGCAGCTTACACTAACTCAACTTCTGATCTGGTATAAATATGCAATCTTGCTAATGCTTATGTGTATGAATTATTCATGTTCATTAGGGATCCCACTGGTAATGAATGTGAGTAGCATTCTAGAAATCAAACGTCCATGCAACCACAGAAAATAGAGAAAGGCAAATTTTCACAGATGAAATTCCATTAAGTCAGGAGTATTTATCTGAACTTAAGTATTTTACCCAAAAGGAATTTCTTGATGTTCTCTTACAAATAATGCACTATTCCAGAAGTTATTCCATTTTGTAATATTTACAAGTAAACCATTTATTTTACTACAGCACTTTGAAGATCTAATAAGGTTAACAGTCCAGTGCAGTACAGTCTTTTCATGAAAACATTTGCAGACTAAGAGGCCATTCCTGACTCCTTGAGCTCACACGGACTTCTGCAGAGTCCAGCTGAACTCAATAATCCAATCCAATACACAAAAAACTGCCAAACTAACATTAGACAGACCAGCAACTAAAGACAGAATGAGAATTTACAGTCAAACATAAAAAATCATAAAAATTATTATAAACAGATTAACTGACATTTAAGATACTACATATACTTAGATATAGATTCTAATCTAAATTTCCTCCTCAGTCACATCCCTGCCACCCAGCTAATTCCTTGAAGGCAGCTGTCACTTTTTCATTTTCGTTCCATTTCTATTCATCTTTGTTTCTACTTTCAAATTGTCTAACCTGCATACAAAATCAACATTTCTATATACAGAAAACACAGGTAAATAGTATTATGTATTTTTATATTATGTAATATGAACACTGTGCAATACAGATGTTATATAAAATAGGTGTGCATTTTTGTATCTGCATGCAATTGTATATTCACCTACTAATTAGGAGGTTCGATCCCATTATGAGTCTTTACACAAGCTTAATGGGCTCCCATTTTTAATGGTACACAACCACTTTTGGTACACAACCAACTCCCAGCATTCAAGGAATTCGGCATAGACTTTAAAATCTATTTGCCAGACCAAGACTAAAGTCTTCAATTTGTCTTAGTGATTATTCAACTCATACAATTATTATTGTGCCTGATGAAGTAGGAAAAAAACTTGGGAGAATTATCAAGCATTAAAAAAAAAAAAACAGCCAACGTGGTGAGTGGATAGGCATACTTTTTTTTTTCAAGTAAATGTCAACTGATTCAACAGCAATTTTTTTCTATAAAATATACAGTGGTGCTACGATACCATCAACTTCCCACAAACCCTCTCTCAAGAATGGGACATTGAGCTGAATTGTTTAAGTCATCAAACTCGGCCTTAGTACTTTGTTCTCTTTTTCAAAGGTCTTTCTGTTTTTCCTGCATATTAAACAGAACATCTAGAAAGAATCTGCTTGTCCCCATGTGCTTATTTTTGAGGGATTAATGCTCCATATTTGGCTCTGAGATTTAAAGCTGAAGATAATTAAACAATTGTCTAATCCTAAAAGACCATTTCTGTACAGAGGCTGGGTGTGGACAAATCAAGAAAAACATTAGCATTTAAAAAACATCTCATTCTTATTCTCACAAAGCATGCAATGCTGTTTTTCCATCTCTCTTTTTATTTTTAAGGGTGAATGCCTGTAATTTCCAGCAAATTCATCCATGATAATCTAATACATTGGTACATTCTTTACAGACAAAAAAGGAACAACAAATAGTTTCACTTGTGCGGTTCCTTCCTGTACTTTTGCCAAGGAGTACTTAGCAGTCTTTGTAAGTAGATTTATGAAACTTCACCAACAATCTCTCTAAGTTAACAAGGTAGAAATATCCTAAAGACACTAGTATTAGACTAAACTGTGTAGAAGGCTAGATCCTCCAAGCTATTTCAGTGGCATGAAGAAAGTGAATGCTGGCTGTCTCTCTCCAATTCATAATTTCCTCAGTAAAATGTGAAAGGATTTCAAGTAAAAAGCAACTAAGGGAAGCTAGCCTCTGCTCCCCAAAATCACTTTAGTATACATTTTACTCATAGCTGTGAAGAGGAATAGATGCTTATTGTTGTCTCTCAACAGATTTTTTAAAAAACATTTTAAATGTTTGTTTTCACACTCATAGTATTAAGCAGTAGGCAGCTATAACACAGGGTTTCACAAGGATGAAAGCTGCTCTCATAAGGAGTCGTCTGTCATAAGGCAATTGTGGAGTGCTGTACTGTAGAGAACTGTAATAGAAACGTTAAGATTGATATACAAATATCTAGGCATGGAAACACCAGAAGCAAGGGCAACAAAAATGGCACGTGTTGATGGCCCCAAACTAGCAGCTCATCAAAATCCCAGCACACCTAAGCGCATTTCTAAGGACAGCCAGGTTAGGAGAAAAAGGGCAGTGAATAAATCCTAAAGACACAGCGGTGAGACATGTCAGCTTCTAAAGGGCACAGAAAGGCACATCCAAAGCCAGCACCAACCAAAGTGGTATATCGGGAAACGGGATCAGCAGAAAAGAGCCAACATTCCTTGTCCTGTCACTGCAAGGAAACTAGACCAGACCACCTGAATACATGCGTCACAGAGCCTGAAAGGTGGACAGACCACTTGCACATGTCTGGGTGCTTTTATGTATGTAGACACGAGAATGCGAGTGAGTGAAAAAAAAATTTTAAATAAAATCACCATACATCTACTATGACATCTCTCATTTAGCATTGCTACACTGTTGCTATACTGTTGCAACAGCATTTCCTGCAGTAGATGCATCACTTTACTAAGCCTGTAAGAAGTATGCTTGAATTATAGGGACACAAAGTCTACCCCTGAAGGCAGATACCATTTGTAGAGGCTCATGTCTGATAAACTGCGTTACAAGTGGACACTGCTCTAAAGTACCAGTACAGAGCAGTGCTATCGCTAAGCAAATAACTGGTTTTCACAATGATAAATAAACGTATACATCTTCTTAGTTTTGACTTTAATGCAGATGCAACAGAAAATATATAATCAGCTCAATTTTCCACTTTCTTACAGAGAGGATAAATGTTGGAGACACATATGCATCCAAAGCAACAAGAACAGATGTACCGCACCTTGTATTTTGAAGATGACATCAGCTAGCACAGATGTATTAAAGAAAAGCCTGAGAGAAGTATTACACATTCGTTTTATCTGGTGAGATCTGCAGTCCTTTAAATTGTTGAGCTGCAAAATAAATAATTAATAAAATACTGTCATGTATAATACCTCACAGGATAAATGACTACGAGATATCATTTATATGGGGAGACTAAACAACAGCCTTTCACTTTATCTTTTACATTCTTTTGCTAGAGCTACTCAACCACATCTCTCATGCATATAATTCTGAAATGATTGTTGACTTTTCCTTTCCTGTTTCTCATGGTGTAACAGATCTAAAGCATGTCTGCCACACCCACACATTCTGAGTCTTGTCCTAATATTCTTTGACCTATTACAAATTCTTCCATCTGCCATCTCTGGGCAGGTTTACGCAGCATTACAAATTTGTTCAAGTCCAAACATTATTCATACACACACAGTTTGAACATAAAGCTGTACTAACACAAGCTTTGAGATACTGCGGGAAGAGCATTAATGTCCATGTGTGAGTTGTGCAGATATAAGCACACACATTTCTGCACTGTGCCAGAGCTGCCCATACTGTGGCTACATATTCCCTCCATAGCAATGCCACACGCTGATTTGAGGCAGCCAAAAAGTCAGGTTTGTTACTAGACAAGTCCTGAGATTGCCTGCCACAAAGGCAAACGGATTTCACAGGCCTTACCATTGACTTCTAATAACGTGGGCATGCCAGAATTGAGATCCTCAAAGCTTAGTATGTTAAGCTACTTTTTTTCCAATTTTTTCTTCATTTAAAAATGGAGTTTAAAACTACCATTCTGTATCTAAAAAGAACAATATCAAAATCATGTTGCTAGATTACGGGAAATGAAATCCAGATGAAGTTGAATTAACTCTTAAATTAAACAGTTAAAAATCTTTTTTATGTAATAAATATTTAATTTTACCAAGAAAATCACAATTCATTTATAGTTCTCATGCCTTTGAAGAAAAACTTTTAAATGCGAAATAAATGTATGCTGAAGACATGATGAAAACCCAAAGGAAAAAACCCCTTCGACTTACTATCTTAAGTTTTCAGGCCTTTTTACATCTGGTCTTTTGAACTTTTAGCTTTGGACCCTTAGGACTAGTAAGGCTATAACCGAAAGATCAGAAGCTTAAAAGAGCTAAGTAACTTTTGATCTTTATGTTATCTCAAGACCGTCCCGGACTATTTCCCATTTAAACTCACAAAAAGACCTTGTACAGTCTCTACGGTACCAGTCCTACCTGTAGTTCTACCTGTAAATAGCTGTTTAAACTAATTCTACTATGTAACTATTTAGTCACATAATTAATGTGACATAAATACATTTTACTGTGAAGTCATTTTCTGAATTGAATATGTTAGCCAATAGACTGATTCCCGTATCACAACATTTATAAAAGATGAGATATAATCTCTTACAAGCTACTGCAGAAGCAAACCTTTTGGGCATATATCCAGGACAGCAAAGGTTTCCTGGGTAGCCTCTATTACACGAAAATTAGGAATAGATAATCATACTGTCAGACAATGTGTAAAGCAGGAAATGTAAGTAATCCTTTCAAGAGACCTACTTATGTGCTTTTTACTGATTATATTAATTCTGCACATTAGATCACCATCCTTTTATTTTGTAAATGTGTACGGGCATCCTATCGATAAATAAAATCGAATAAATAAAAGACTATGTAAACCAAAATAAAGTTAAAACAAAGACTGACAAGGAAACAATGTCTACAAAAGAATTTTCTAAGAACTTAACTAACTAATGCTAAAAGTTACCACAGAAGAGTTAGATGTACCTTCCCTGGAGTTTTCAGGATACATTTAACTTTCTCAAGTACATGTTCAATTTTTTCAGGATCCTTTAGCTTCTTCTTTATATCTTCTTCTAACCGTTCCCACTGGAAAGCACCTGTCACAAGAGCAAATACCGTTGATTTATAAATAGAATAGGCACAGGATTTAGCAGGCAGAGGAGAGATGACATCAATGCCAAATAGTTCTTACAGAAATTATATTTTTAGCACTTTTGTCAGTGGAATCTTTAGGCTTAGAAAGTTAAAGATGCAATTCTGCCATGATCAAACTTTTGCAGTAAATCGGTGATGACTTTTACAAAGATTCTACCAAGTACAGACAGTATGTCTGAATTCAGACCTTCAGGGCTGTCTAGAGGATTCAGATATGTTAATTTAATTGAGGAAGAAGAAAGAAGAAATGCATCTAGCTGCTCTGGATTACTTTAGAAATATGAACATTTAAAATTAGTCAAAGCCATTAAGAAGAAGACCAAGAGCACTTAAAGGAAAAACTACTGTTTCAGAGCATAACATTAGGTATTAAATAATGTTATTATAATTTACAATATTTAGTATTATAAATAATTCCATTTTAGTAGAATATTTGTGATCAGCTGTTCAATGAAACACTGAGATAAAACCTGGAAAGAAGGACGTTTCCACCAGAATCTATTAGTTTAGAATCTATTAATCTATTAGTTAAATAAGCTCTGCTGAATCTGTTCATAGCAGCCAAAAGGTGCTGCACTGCTCTTGCACTGGAGGGTACTGCCTCATGACTGCTGGTAAACACGTAAGTGTGCTAGCATGTCAGCTACTGTTCACAGGTCATCGTGCTAACTTAAACTGCCATTGGATCCTTCTTTACAAACCAGCTTTCTCTCATTTTGATTCTACATGAAAGTTAAATCTGTATTTCATGTTTCAATTATTTACCAAATGCACAAAGGTAATGCTGCAGACATTTATTAAAAGCTTCTTGCAGGGCTGAATAGACTGAGAAGAACAAAAGTCATTGCTCAAATCATGGACCTTATGAGAAAAAAAAAAAAAAAAGCTAACAAAACAATTTTATTGCCCTGAAACATTCTCTGGCGAAATTTAAGAATAGCATGGTAAATATGTCACCCCAGTCTTCAAAAAGGGCAAGGAGGAGGAGCCAGGAAACTACAGGCCTGTCAGCCTCACCTCCATCCCTGGAAAGGTGATGGAACAGCTCTTCCTGGAGGTCATCACTAAGCATCTGGAGGACAAGAAGGTGATCAGGAGTAGTCAGCATGGATTCACCAAAGGGAAATCATGCTTGACCAATCTGATAGCCTTCCATGATGGAATGACTGGCTGGGGAGATGAGGGCAGAGCAGTGGACGTTGTCTCCCTGGACTTCAGCAGCCTTTTGACACTGTCTTCCATCACATCCTCCTAGGTAAGCTCAGGAAGTGTGGGTTAGATAAGTGGACAGTGAGGTGGATCGAGAACTGGCTAGAAGGCAGAGCTCAGAGGGTTGTGATCAGCAGTGCAGAGCCTAGTTGGAGGCCTGTAGCTAGCGGTGTCCCCCAGGGGTCAGTCCTGGGTCCAGTCTTGTTCAACGTATTCATCAACGACCTGGATGAAGGCACAGAGCGCATCCTCAGCAAGTTTGCTGATGATACAAAACTAGGAGGAGTGGCTGATACACCCTCTGGTGCTGCCATTCAAAGAGACCTGGACAGGCTGGAGAGTCAGGTGGAGAGGAATCTCATGAACAACATGAGATTCAACAAAGGCAAGGGCAGGGTCCAGCACCCAGGGAGGAATAACCCCAGGCACCAGTACAGGCTGGGGGTTGACCTGCTGGAAAGCAGCTCTGCAGAGAAGGCAGAGCTTTCCCGGTGGACAACAAGGTGACCATGAGCCAGCAGCGTGCCCTTGTGGCCAAGAAGGCCAACGGGATCCTGGGGTGCATTAGGAAAAGTGTTGTCAGCAGGTCAAGGGAGTGATCCTGCCCCTCAACTCAGCTCTAGGTGAGGCCACACCTGGAGTACTGTGTCCAGTTCTGGGCTCCCCAGTACAAGAGAGCCATGTCACTCCTGGAGAGAGTCCAGCAGAGGGCTACAAAGATGATGAGGGGACTGCAGCATCTCTCCTATGAGGAAAGGCTGAGAGAGCTGGGCCTGTTTAGCCTGGAGAAGAGAAGACTGGGAGGCAATCTCATCAATGTATACAAATATCTAAAGGGGAGGGTGTCAAGAGGATGGGGCCAGACTCTTCCCAGTGGTGCCCAGCGACAGGAGAAGAGGCAAGGGGCACAAACTGAAACCCAGGAAGTTCCATCTGCATATAAGGAAAAAATTTCTTTCCTGTGAGGGTGACAGAGCACTGGAACAGGTTGCCCAGAGAGGTAGTGGAGTCTCCTTCCCTGGAGATATTCAAAGCCCACCTAGACACAATCCTGGGCAATGTGCTCTAGATGACCCTGCTTGAGCAGGGGGTTTGGACTAGATGATCTCCAGAGGTCTCTTCCAACCTCGGCCGTTCTGTGATTCTGTGAAATATCTATAAATATAATCATATAACAATGTAAAATTTGGAAATGATTTTTAAAGAAAAAAAAAGAATCCACAGCTTTTCTCCTATATCATCCTTAGGAGGCATATCAACTGTCCAGTCACGACCTCCTAAAGGTATATTAATTTGAGAGAGAAAAATTGACCTGTTCAGAGCAGAAGATTAAGGTAATCCTCATTTCCCTTGCTTTCAGAATCATTTGCTGTGATTCCTCCCTGCTCAATTACTACATACCGCAGTTAGACATTCAGAAAAAATACTGCATGTCTCACTATTTATCAGAGTTCTTCAGAATGCATATCACTGGTTACGTTGCTTGGTAGGTATCTGAACCAGAAAAGTTTACAGCACAATTGAATATCAGTAATTAAAAAGAGCACAACATTTGCAATGGAATTTCTTTCTTGTTTTCAGAGTTACAATCATGGCCATCTCTTAGTTCTCAATGTTTTTTCTACAAAACAGAAAGTGTTGTCCAGCTTTAAAAGGCATTTCCACTGATCGCCTGAGAAGGCTTCTAGTTGACTTGAATAGCAGTAGAATCTAGCCCAAACAGTCAAGAATTTCTTGACAGCAACTCAGGTGACAGTAGTCAAGGAAACAGCACAAAACCCCATAGCTCATGCGTATACTCTTTGCTGGAATAAGTCTCAGTTACACGTGGGGTTTTTTTAGTATCTTTCAGTCCTCATCCATAGGGCCACAAAAGCCTGTAATAACGAAGATTCAGAGACAGAATAAAGTTCAGGATAAAGGATAAACTAGCATAGCTCTTAAGGCATTCTACTGTACAAAAACTAAAACAGCGTTCAGAAACTGATACAGCATAGGACATCTTAAGCTCTATCAGCTCTTCCAGAATGGATGGTCAGTCTTTATAACCTCATAAACAGAATGTAAAGGCAGTAAAAGGCTCAAAGCAATGACACTCTTCTCATGATCTGATCTGTTCTCAACCTATGCCTCAAATGTCAACTCTCAAATGTACCAAATAGTGCAATGACTTTGGGCAATTCTTATCAGATTGCAAACTGTGACTCAGATCAGAGCTTAACCTACACCTTAGTAGTAGAAGTTAACAGAAGTCTATTTCTCAGGATAATAGACATACACTTTAGTAATACATTTGCTGCAAAAGACGGAATTAGCTGGAACCATTCTCACAGGATACCTGAATAAATGAAGTGTAGAATGTCTGACAAACAAGAACAGAAGATGGAGTCTTTAACAATGACTCTTACTGGTGGGTCGCATGATGAGCCACTGCTAGGAAACGGAAACACAGCTTCACTGTTCACTGCAAAGAGACTTTGCGCAGTCCGTATGATAGCAGAATCATGAATATCAGCTGGACTCTTCACTTTGAAAAGTAACATGAAGACATGGCTTACAGAGCACAAAATGATCTTGTGAGCTTCTACTACTTTCTTTAAGTCTTCTGAGTAAAATATCACATCCACACACTGGCAGCAGGACAGCAACTTGTGTAAATCAGAGTCATAATGTGAGGCTTCACCTCTTAAGATTGGCATTTTTTCTATAAAAGATAATAAGTTGGTCTGTAAATTTTAAGTAAGCATTAATTATAGTACAATTTTTCCCAGAGATCTGATCAAAAGACCAATTTTGGGGGGGAAAAAAAAAGTCTTATGTATTGCTTGAATATGTTTAGTAAAATATTCTAACAACGGAACTGGTTAGTAGAACTAAACTATTTAGTAAAAAACGTCCATCATTTTACAAAACCTCTTATGGTGCTTATGTTTAAAAAAACCTTAGGCTATGATTACCAAGCCTTAAGGATCTGAGTGAATTTCTAGTAAGAGTGAGAAAAAACAACTGCATATTTAGAACTAAATACTTGTCAGTAATCCTTTCACTGAACATGCAATATCAGACATTCAGAAATCAAATGCAGGAAAGCATACACCTCCCCTGTGTTTTATTTACAGCAAATTAAAAATATTACTTCATAACATTATATCATAATAAAGCATCATGTACTGATTTTTCATAATTCATCTGCAAAGCTTTTATATACAGCTTTTATTAACTCATACACTTGCATTATTTCATCAAAAGGACCAGAAAACCGCTATGATTTTTGTATAAAATATATTAGAGACCCATTGTGATGTTACATACTGCTACAAAAGTCTCCCAAAAGACATTAAAGCATCACTAAAAGATTATACAACTTCAGCAAGATAACCAGAGTAGCTGATAATAGATAACACTGAACACAATAATTATGACAAAACAATACTTGCATAAAAACCATCACATATACAACAAACAACATAGTAGAGATCAGATGTTAGTGAGCACCTGGTTGTTCAAGCTGAGGGGGTTTAACTCGATGGTACTTCTGGGTCTTTCTTCTTTTCTTCATTTTTTCAGATGACTTCCGATTCAAACTTTGGATCATAAAATATTCCAGCTAAAACATGAAGTGGATTTTTAAGAACTACTAGTTATTTAAGAGCAAACTTACATCAAACTAAGGAACAATGAGTGGATATTATATGCAAAGCTGAAGCTACTGCCATTATGAACAGTAATGCGGGTCATCAGAGTCCTAGTACTTCTTTATCACCAGAAGGTACTAAATGTAGTTGGAATTAGCATAATTTAAAGGACTATCAATTCCAAATGTGTACTTAGTCTTGGCAGAAATGACAGGTATGTGACCAGAAAGAAAGTCACTTTAGCAACCTTAGTAGATGCTAGCTATAGAATTACAGAGAAAAATAAGACTTGATGAATACTGATCAGGTGGAAGTGATGGAAATAACAAAGCAGTATACAAGCTCTTCAGTTTGAAAATAACCAAAACTACCACACAATACTATACTATCTTCTAAAAAAGTCACATTAAAATGTGATGTGTTTGCACAAGGTCTGTTTTACTGGAAGCAGAAGAGAAGCACGATCACTGAGGTGAAATGATCCATTTTACAAGAACAAAGAGAACATAAAGGGTAGTTCAGTTCTGGTTAACATTTGTGATGAACACTTTTATCACATCAGGTATTAGTGTAGCATAGAGTGAGCTTCATAAAAACTAAAAAAAAATCTTCTGGTTCGACAAGGTATGGAGCGGATTCCATATTCTTAAGCGGAAGCAAATAGATCCAATTAAGATTGTCTAAGTGTTGTGCCAGCTTTTTCAAGTTATTGTCAAATCCCGTGGAATGCACGCTATACCTATATGCCAGGGACAACAATAAAGATCATGTGAAATTACTATGCCAAACAAACTACATTTTTTTCTTCAATTCCAAATTCTACCAGGAAAGTAAAGGCAAGGGTCAACAAGATACTGAACTTTTAACACCTCATAGTATTGAAAATTAAGTATTAGCATAAAGATCAGAAGTAATTTTATTCAGAAGACAGTTAAAGGACTAAAGTCTGAAATTGCACAGCAGACTTCCCTGTTTTCAGAAGAGGAGAGGAAGGGTCTAATCATAGATGATGCATTTTAACAAGCTTTGCAGTTCCTGCCTAGTTCAATTTTACTGCAGGTGACTACATGTTCTGCTCAGGGTTCTAAACTGCTTAGTGACTGCAACCCAAGCAACCACAGGAACGCATTAAAAAAATTAAGCACGTTAACATTCTCACTTCACAAGTAGAACAACTGTAAGAGATTGAGCAATTAAAATCGAAAAATATCAGAAAACTATAGAACAATTCAGATTGGAAATGACCTCTGGAGGTCACCTAGTCAAACCACCTGCTAGAAGCTGGGGTTATCTTCAAAGTTGGATGAGGTTGCTGAGGGCCTTTTGCTCTTGAGTTGTGATTATCTCATCTGAGCAAAAAGAAAGGCCAGGAGTAGGGGAAAAAATTTTCTTGTGTACTACAGCTTTCCTAAAATTTCCTAAAAGGTAGTTAAAACTGGAGCAGTATTAGTATTACTAATTCTGCTAACACCAGTGGGAATTCACTCTCAGTGGGAAGCATGATGGAATGCCTCTACTTATTCTTTTAAGGGATCACATTAGTTATGTACTTTCCATCTGCGCTACATTGTTTTAAACTGAAGCCAAGACTTGAACTATCAGTAAGATTTGTTTTATACTGTAGTTACAACACTACAATTTCTCACTTACCACTCCTCCAAAGTATTTTTGTATATAAAAGTCATTAAGAGTGTGCAATTCAAGATACGTAGCTCCTAGTTCTTTAGCAAGCTGAACTCCTTCAGAAGAAGTAACACAGCTCCTTCTGTCTGAAGTGCACAGTGGGCAGGTACAAGGCACTTAAGGAAAACAAATGACTTGTATAAGTTGTTTTTATTAAATAATTCAAAATACTTAACTTTCTAAATAATTATAAAGATGTATTGTAAAGATATTACTCCTATAGAAAGGAAAAGAGAAACAATTTTATAGCAAGAAATCTATCAGTATGGCAAAATAACTTCTTTATAATCAGTTCAAATTATTAACTACTACATAGAATCAGTTTGTATTACATTAGCAATATTTAAAATTAAATTTTGTCAAAGTAGAAAAGTCAAGCAGACTTCCGGAACCCAGGTTTGTTGTGGGGTCTAAGTATCCTTACATTCATATATATTAGTTTTTAATTTTTAGATCTGTAGGTGCTATTCATTAATGACACCCTTAAGATTATTTTATCATTACCTGTCAATGGAGGAAGTATACAAAATAATAGAAGAGAGAAACTGCCACTACAGTCCTGGCCACCTACATACTACAGAATATGATTTTATTACACATTTTATATATCAATTTTTATCCTAGGATATGTATTTTTGAAGATTACTCCTAGTTAACTGAAAAAATCTAAATGTGAGCCACAACGACACAGCTTTGCTTGACGCTGCTAAGAATCTGACAGCTATGAACACGATTTAAAATATGGCGTACATGTTATACACAGATCAGATTACAGAACCGTAATGTAAAACATGTATTAACATAGCTATTCTGGGAGCAGAACCTTTCACTGCTCTGAAGGAGTAACATCCTAATAGTTTGTAGGAGTAAACTGCTGTGCTCACACATACCTCATCAAAGAAAAGGGCTTTGTGTGTGCATAGCAGTCTACTCAAACATATCACAAAGCAAAACTATGATCAGAGAATACTGACTTCTCTCACAGTGACATTACTGAGAAGAAAGTCAAAAAACAAAAAATAGAAAAGAAAAATGCCAGTAGTAGAGTCAGTCAGATTGGCGGTATCATACGCTTAAAAGAAAAAGAAAAGGCGTAAGTAAGAAAATGAGCTGGGGAAACCAAACATGAGTTAAGCAAACCTTGACTTCATTATGTCAATCTCATTAGAATGGCATATTCAGTACCCTTGTATAAGTCAGAGCGGTTACATTTTATCATTATCAGTGAATTACAAAAAGAAAAAAAAATTTTTACAGAGTTATTTAACAGTCCTTTCTGGGTCACTGACCAAAGAAATATATAAATAAACCCTGGTAAAATGGAACACTATGTCCAGAGATGATAAATCTACTATAGCTTAATATTTATTTGCATGTTACAAAATAAATATCTGTACCTACATTCATAAATCCTGTCCCATATTCATAGCAGGAGGGATGCTCAGAAATGCCTGTTTTTGCCAAACTTTAAAGGTAAAAGACAACTCACAGGTACAAGTTTGAAATTCATCATTTTGCCTTAGAAGCAAAATTAAACATCCCTCTCCCTCCACCCCCAAAAAATTAGACCCCAAGACTAAATAGAATTGTTTGAAGCACAATATAAAATGCTTCAAAATACAGAATAAAGTTTTTGTGTTTCTTCCATCAATCTATGGTGGTTTTTTAAAGCTTATTTCCTTGATGTAAACAGACCAAAAGTATGAATGTCTGTCCAAACCATAAACATGTTTTCATCAGAATTACGCCAGTCAATTGTGGGCCACTTTAAAATTCACTCAGTCTTTCAGTTCTAAGAATCACTATCCATGGTTGTGTGACTATGATACTTACTTTGAAAAAATTAAAAAGCCAAAAATCAAAAAAACACTTTGTGCTAAGTATATAATCAGTCTAAAGTAATTTTCATTGTTCTCATACCAGATCTACTAACTAGCCTGGACAGAACATTGTGTTAACACACAGCCATACCACAGCTACTCTCCTGTGACAGCTTAGCTGTATTAATACGGCAGCACACTGTGCTTTGTGGTTATGTCTGCAGAGCATCCAAAGGGTAGGCGATTGCATTCTGCTGACCACGTTCCAGAGAATTTATCCTCCTATCCAGTAGCTCCAAGCCAGTGGACCTCATTTTAATCTCTTTCACTAGAGGTCTCTTGTACTAGAGATAATGACCAGAGAGAACTCAAAACTATAGGATTCATCTCATACACTCAAACTTGTGTTTATAATTTTAAAGCACTAGGATTCCAGTGTATGATAACTCAACAAAAGGAGTGATTGTAGAGGTCAAAGTAGAATGCCTTTCATTGCCAGTGTTAATTAAGCGTTGTGTTCTCACCAAAACACCAATCTCCAGAACCATAATACATTAACATATTATTGTCATTCTGACAGACTGTGGAAGAGGCATACTAATATCTATTTCTGCTAGCACTCTGGAAAAATAATCAGCTTCTACTGAAATCCACTACATATTTAACTTCCAAATGATATTTTCATAGTTCACTACATAAGATTGAATACATACCATTTTTTCTTGCACCAATAGCAGAAATTATTACTGGAACTGAACAGTGGTTTAACGCTTTTTTTATCATTGGGACATAACTGTCCTTTAATTCTTGAAATGAAGTCTTGTCATTGACAGAGTATTTAATCACAATAATATCAGCTCCTCCAATGAGACTGCGAGAAGTATACCAGTCACTGTCAAATATATCCTAAACAGAAAAAATACTGATAAAGAATCCTCTCTTGTTTATAAATGAAAACACCAACTATGCAATATTTTTTTGACACAAAACTTCACAGAAGCATCTCCAACGGACAGTTCAATCTCTTTTTGAAGAGAGGTAACACAGAAAAGAGCAGAATTCGTGCTTTATAATTTTCTTGTGTGGAAAACAAGTTATGCAGTATAATGGATAATAAATTGCTGCTTAAGAATTCAGAAGTTGAGAAGAAGAAATAGTATTTATCTAGGAATATACTTTGCGTGGGAAAAAACCTTTAATGTTTTAATCACTTAACTTTCAAATGTTTTTATTAAGAAAATAAAAGTAACTTCAGTGGCAAACATTTGCAGTAATTCATATAAAACCACTATTTACCGTAATTTTTTAGGAAGAGGGCTACACAGAACTCTGCTAGGTACTCAGGAATCTTTAAATAAAAATTCTAGCTAACTGACAGAATTTGCTTCTGCTTCACAAAAGCTTCCATGTAGTAACAGGTGTTAATGCCATCAGCATTAGGACTTTAATCACTTAACTAAGCTTTCTTTTTTGACTTCCTACTCACTTGTCATTGATCTGCTCTGTAACAAAGATTTATACTCTAAAATTATTTTATATTTAATTAATATACAGCTGAGCTTCATTTACATGTAACATATAGTTATTACTTGTATATTTGTCATTTGCATGAGAACTGTAATTTCACAATGTCTGCTTTATCTGAAGGTAGCTCATAAATACCAAAGAAAGCCATGGTTTTGCAACTATGCTGAATTGAAAACTCTGACAGAAATCTAAAACTGATCCAGAGAACCGAAAATGAACTCAAACCCGTCTTAGAACAGTCATATAGAGCATGAGGGGAAACTAAAAGAACCTGGGATGTCGAGAAGACACTGGAAACAAGCAATGATATAAACAAAACATGGAAAAGAGAGGAATAAATGGGCATAGAAGAAGTGACAAAAGGAAATAACTCAAAGTTCCGTGGCAGAGTGGGGGAGGGAGATCAATGTGATTTGTGAAGAACAGATCACAAAAATATGAGCATTAAAGATTGGAAGCAGAAATATATACATATGAATATACATAAAGATCATTACTGTCAGCAACTGAAGCGGCTTTCATTCTCAATAGAGTAGATATTTTTCATCACTTCAAACCAACCACTGTTTCAGATCTCTGGTGAATCAGCTGCAGTACTCTTAAGTGCAAGAGAACATTAACTTGACAGATATATGTCAATGAGCAAATAGTTGTCTAGACCGTGAGTGCACTTTGCACCCAATTTAGGCCTTGTCTCTACAAAGACTTAAATCAGAAAGCTTATCTAAACTTAAAGCAGAACAGGCATTCCTCTGAATTACTTTAGTAGATGTTCTGGCATAAAAGAATCAGATTTAATTAACAAGAATAGCTATTCTAAAGCTACTCACCATGTTGATAAGGGCTTTAAGAGCAGTGTTCTTTGTATATGGTTTTCAATTAACTTAGTTAGAGACTATTATAAACCCAGGCTTAGGAAAATCTCCACCAGCGTTTAAAAGAATCATTTAGACTATGTTAATTCAGCTATATATCAACTTCAGTCTTGATTCACTTCTCTACACAACTGTTTTGCAGTGTGGTTTTATCAAAAGGCTCATACCATAGCTGAAACCTATGTGTCTCAGCTTCTGTCTGCCTCCTATTTTATGAGATCTGCATAGCTACTGTCACTAGAAATTGCACGGTATTTTACAACCTCATGCTTGGAATTTAATCAACGAATTTTTCTCTCTTGGGTTGCTCTCAGGAACCAGCACAGCACCTTTAGACTCCTAACAATCAAAGAATGCTTGCTCAAACAAATAAAAAGGTCCACTTTAATATCCAGGAGAACATACTTGCTTCTTAGTAAGTTCATAAAATTAATACATAAACACAAGTTTAGCATCAATAGTAGTAAGATTAGCAGCTACCTTAGCTTGAGAGAGCCAACCGGATGGGCTTTCATAGAACCTGATCATACAGTTTGATAAGAATCAAGAATATCTAGGGGCAGCTCTAATACTTTAGCTGGTGAAGTCCTGAACAGAAAATTTGGTAGTAGACTGGTGTATGTTTAACACAACTAAAGGCATAAGGGAACAATACAAACCAAGAATAATACAGATTATTTATAATCAAGATAACATGAATAAGGGAAGAATATTTAGTTGTCATATGTTGGAAGATAGAATAAGTAGCTGTTCCTTTGCAGTTTTCTCCTACATGCCTGCTTTCAAGTTCAGCCCAAGTCTGTACATGCCCATCTGTATGAGTTTGGGGAAAACCAGCAAAATCCCCACTAAGGGCTAATGCACAGGTGCACAAACGTGCAAGAACTCTGCAACAAGTCTGAGCACTACTAATAAAAAATATTTATGGAAATTTCTTACAGAACATAACATGCCATTTTTACACTGAATTAGACCTCCACGCTATGACATATTTTCATGTCACAGAATCACAGAATCGTTTAGGTTGGACGGGACCTCTGGAGATCATCTAGTCCAACCTCCCTGTTCAAGCAGGGTCACCTAGAGCATATTGCCCAGGATCACATCCAGACGGGTTTTGAATATCTCCAGCGAAGGAGATGTCATAAGACAGAACAACAAAGAAAGGTCCTGGTAAGACTTCTAAGGTTTTAGTGGGTATGAACTCCACCACGTGCAAGTAAAGAACCAACCCTAACCCTAGTCCTAACCTGTATCAGAGGACAGGAATCCTAGAGACCAACGTGTACTGAGATATGGCTCCATCCTGACATAAGCCATCAAGCTACTTCTCTGGCTGGAGCAGTATTCCGGTACTCACTGGGAGGCCCTCAGATCCCCAACCCTAGACCCCGGCCCTAATCCTATCTTCAGCACAGGACAAAACTCCCATTTTCTAACACCTGTTGAGATACAGGCCCCAATCTCACATCAGACCCCTTCCTGGCTCTCCCAGGAGAGCGGTCGTCTAGCACAATTCCAGCCCAGAAGGCCCTCAGCTCCCTAATGCTAACCAGTGGCAGCTCAAATGCTCTTCTAGCTGATGGGAATCTCAAGAGACTATTTTGTAGAAGACTTGTACTGGTCTGGGTGTGCACACTCATGCACATAACAACAGTGGCCTAACAGATCCATATTGTACAATAAAAAATGCAAGTTTTTCTTAATCAGATGAATAGTAATAAAGCTTTCTTACATAAGTAAAAATACAAAAGTTTTTGTAATTTGGGAAACAAAATAACAACAGCAAAAGAAGAAATGGCCATTATTTGCAAGGTTCTCCTATGCAGCCCTTTTTTGTACTTAGCCCAAGTTGCCATATTCCCGTCTCTGCACATGTGGGAAAATCTAGCAAAATTCCCACTGAAAACAACAGCACAGGTGCATGAACACACAAGAACTCTACATCTAACTATTGTGGAGGGAGGGAACTACGGAAACTTGGTACATGTTGTAACAGGTTCTTACGTGCTACCAGTTAGACTTCATAAGAAGTTTGGAGGAGGTCTGTAGTTTTCTCCATTAGATTGTGCTACCACTGCAAGTCACTTTTAAGACAGAACTACAAAGACAGATTTTAGCAGAGTTTTTAAAGTTCTAGTAAGGATGGACACCTATCCCCCCCCATTCCTAAGATAAGAGCCTTGAGAATATCAAGCTGCTATAGAGACAGGCGGAACACAACAAGCCAAGTCTCACAACACCTCTGTTTTCTGTTACTGTTATACAGTTTCCCTATGCTCTCATATATTAAACTTAGCACTCCCAAAACCCCAATCTTGAAGATGAATATTACATTTACAGACATAAAGGAGAAAGATACGCTCCCAGAGGTCTTACTGTGATTGTTTTCATGTTGCAGCAAATCTGCAGTAGCTGGTTTAGATTACTGCTCATGTACTGGGAAAATTCTCTGAAAATGTGTCTTGACAATGAAGGGTTACTTGCCCAATACATCACGGTGACAGAGCATCTGGAGCCTTAGCTAAGTTAAGCATGCCTTGCTTATCACCTTTAAGGCAGCTTTCATGCAAAAACAGTGGAAGGGATTTCTTCAGATGACAAAATAACAATTCAGATTCCAGACACTATCTATGAAACCTGTCTAGCAGCTACTTCTCATCACTTCCTGCTCTCAGCACAATCCACTTCTCAAGATAGCCACTGACAAAACCATTGACAAAAGAAACAAACAATGGTACAAGTAAGGGTCCTATAATACAAACTTATTAATTTTAATCATAATCCTGTTTCTTCCTCTCAAGACTTATTAGGAAAAAAAAAAAAAGGGCTTTTGTTCTTTTCTTACACGTCTTAGATACACATATCTCAGAACATATTATACTCATCAAGGACTAAAGTTTAAAAAAGCCTTGACAGGCAATGGAGATGTGACTTCCCAACAAAATCATACGACTCCTCTAAAGGACAATATTTCTATTGTTAAAAGTAATTTATGAATGCCTTTTTGGAATCACAATGAAATCTGCTCTGCTCTTGCAATACTCACACTCTTCCTAAAAGCTGTTCATAGGAAGGTAAGAAATGTCCTAATGGTTCTTCTAACTCAGCACTTTATTTGCAACAGTAGCAATAGCAGATGCTCTCTAGGGAGAGCATAGAATCCTGGCCACGTTCTCAGTTCCATTCTCCTTGTCCTTCCCCAGAATGCAAAACTACTGTGATTAGGAATATTAGAAAGTCGTCTAGAATGTCTGAACAACTTGCTGAAAAGCTACAAAGCTGTCCCGAATCCATTCATGGACTCATTCTCCATTAATTCATCAACTCTGAGCCTGCCATCTGCCTTCTCAAACTCCTGTAGCAATAAGCTCCAGAAGTTAACTACGTGCTGTATAAAGAAATATTTTAACTGTTTTAAACTGATCATCTACTAGTTTTACTTAGTGTCCTCTAGTTCTTGAACTGCAGGTTTTGGGGGAAAAAAAAAAAAATCTTTCAAACAATGCTTTCCACATCAGCTTCTACGAGCCTTCCCTGCCCTTTGAAGGTGATCTCTGCAAGTTTGTCAGGCAACAGAATTTCTAATCAGTCACTTCCACTAGCTGGCAAGACAAATTTTGTAGGTGCACTTTCTGTAACTTACTAGACTCCTCAACAAATTTAGCTAAGTGACATGCAGCATACAAGTATCTTCTTCACAAATCAAGGCAATTCATACCACAGCCCTGAAGAGCCACATTTGTTTTTTTTACTCAGGGCTTTCCAAAACATTTGTATCTTTAATGGGCTGAGCTGACCAAAAAAAAAAAAAAAAAAAAGGCTAGCATTTCTCTTTTCCCAAAAAAAAAAAAAAAGGAAAATAACAGGATATGATCAATTATGATCAATTATTGTAAATTGTAAACTTCAGACAGTCAAGCTTTAAAATGAGAAAGGACGACATACCAACAATGAAAAGTTGCAACCTATGGTTTTATAATGAAGTAGTAACGTGAATGGATTTCTAAAAAATAATACGTAAAATAAAAAAGAAGATTAGATTCTTTTTTCTTCAGAAATGTTGATGGGCCTGAATGGGCAGCCAGCCTAGCCAGGAACCTGAGCATAAGGATGCTGCTGAGGGAAAAAGTACACCATGGATAGCATCACTGTTAAAAGAAAACTCACGGGATTCAGGGAACTACTACGATTGGTACAGTAAGAAGAAAAAAAAAAAAGCAAACAGAAAAACCTGGAAAGATTCATGGCAAGAGACTGTGGAGAGGGAGAAGTTCATATAACACCTTTTCAAAACTGCAATTAATATATTTGAACACTAGTCAGTCCCATGGAGGTCTGCAGGTCAGTGCAAGTCTCTAACTAGGCACTGGCAACGACCCAGTAAAGGTTCTCATAAACATGGCTCCCATAACATGCCTCTCTAGAGTGCGTAACCAATCACAAGGTATTCTCCAACCTCTAGCTGTTCCACTTGCTCCTGTTTTAACGTACGCACTACTCAGAACATCATGATGTCAGTGGGTTCTCTGGAAATTGAAGTTATTAACTTGGGGGAAACAACAAATTTCTGGAGGTATGTTCCCTGGGAAAGAAAAAAGATGGTTCACAAAGGAGAAAAAAAAAAAAGTGAAGAAAGACAGTAAAAGTCCAATCTAGGACTGAGACATTCTAATGTCCACATAGCACTGTTTCAAACCATAGAAAAAGGAGAACAAGAGAGATAACATAACTGGGAAGTATCACTACGAGTGAAGCTTTCATTCTGCCATGAAGTGTTCAGCATCATAATTAAATGAATCAAAACATGAATTATACCTTCCATGCTATGTTTTTTTCTGAAGTTGATCAAGATTTACTTGCCATTAGCTACAACATTTCCCTCTACTTTTTCTGCAGTTTTTACTTGTACATATGTACAAGCCTAACAAAATTCAGTATAAAGTGACTGAGGCTGCAAACTACATGCAAGCCAATGAAATGGCACCTCAGCTCCCAAGGCTGTCAAATCTGATGTACTCATATCTTGCTAAATAAATCAACTCTTACCAAAGTAATTCATAAAATTAATCTTGCAAATTATTCCTTATAAGTTACTAGCCCCCATACTGAGATTTACCAAAAAAAAAAAAAAAGTGGTATATACTAGTTCAGCATACTGTATGGCATCACAAATTGAGCATGCATGAGCAATTGATCAGTTATTAAAATCACAATATGCAGCGATAACGATAGCACATATGGTTTCCCCAGTTCTTTATAGCTCCTCTCAGCCTGGGTCTGTATGTTGTGTCAGAATGTTTTCCAGCTATGTCAACCACTAAGAAATCTGTCCACTTGTGGATCTGTGCACTCCACATGGAAGATACCAGCACAGAGCTTTATTAATCTGGTTCAGGACACAGAAGGCCATAGTGATATACTCAATGCTCGATACACTGAGATCAAAGCAATTTTGGAAACAGTGATATTTTGCCTTCAGATTTTGAAAAGTAAGCTCCACCACTATCTCTAAAACTTCACGTCATCTCTGTAAATGATAAACATGCTCCCTA